GTCCCTTGGATCTTGTTTCATATCCATTCTGACAGTTGCTCCTAATTAGTATGTTAGAACATTGCTGTTTAAAGTGATTGTTGGTATTATTTAATATCTACCATGTCACTACTGTTTTCTATTTGTTGCCCTCGTTCTTTCTTTGGTTTCCATTTTTTTACCTTCTCAGTTTTAACTGAGCATTTTGTATAAGTTCCTACTTTCTGTTCCCCCCTACCTGGCCTTCATCCTGAGATACAGCCCAAGCCCTTTTTAATTTTAGTGATCCTCTTGCCTCAGCCTCTCAGAGTAAACTGGGATTATAGGTATGTGCCATCATGCTTGGCTTTTTTTTTTCTTTTCCTTTTATCAATTATAATTGTTTTGCTTGTGGTAGTGGGGATTGAACTCAAAGCCTCATGCATGGTAGGCAAGTGCTCTACCGTTGGTCTACTGTCCCTCCCCCCTCCCCTTTTTATAAAATTTTATTTTTTTAAAACAAAATTTATTTTGAGGCAGGGTCTCAATTCAGTTGCCTAGGCTGGACTCAAACGTGAGAGCTTCCTGCTTCTGCTTCCTGAGCAGCTGAGATTACAGAGTGTACATTTTGGAGTTTTTTTTTAAATTTACTCCTGAGTATTTTATTCTTTTTGATGCTGTTGCAAATGGAATTATCTTAATTTTATTTTCAAACTTCATACCATTTCACATTGTAGCATAATTTATAAAACAAAATCCTAAGGAATCCATTCAGATACTACTAGAAGCAATAAACAAGTTCAGCAAGGTTGCAGAATAGAAGATTTACAAAAATTGTGTTTCTACATGCTAGTAATGGAAAGTCCTTAGGATTTTCTAAATATAAGATCACATCATCTATGACTTAAGATAGCTTTTCCACTTTCCAATACAGGTACCTCTTTTTTCCTTGCCTAATTGCCCTGGCTGGAAACTTTAGAACAAATATTGAACTGATGAGAAAAGTATCTACTCTTCACTAATAAATACTATAATGTAGGTTATGAGTTTTACTGTCTATACTAGATCTTGATTTTTGGAATAAGTTTCTATACCAGTAGCTAGAGCATCTTTACTCTTGGTAAAGTTAATAGAACATTCCATTGTATGGTCATACTTCAGTTTTTTTAGTCAACCTACTGTAGATATTTCTTTCCTTTTTTGTGTCTGTGATTCTGATTCTACAAATATCTCAAGTGTAGCTCAGCAGTGTTATTTAGATGCTTTCTGAGAACCTCAATATTTAATTTATCTAAGAATTTGCCAGATGGATAACTAGATCATTTGTAAAAAAAATTCTTAACCCATTAGAGAGTCCATTATAATTTAGTTACACTTTATGTCAGTGTTTTTTCCCAAAGCCCATCTTTTTTGAAAATCATATATGAGAAGCAATTCTGACTCATTTCTACTTTCTGCTCAAATTCTTATTTATTTTTGAATTTTTGTGGGCTTGTCTGATGTAGTGTATTTTAGCTCACTAGAGTAAAGGACACAGTGACTCTTGACCACAGCCAAACTTGTTTCCCATTTACTTTGCTTTTTCAAGAAATACTTAGTGAGCAATGATTGCATACTTACTTAGCTCTGTTCTAAGAAGATTGAAACAAAATATACCCTCCTTGTTTTTAATGGGTAAATGCAGGGTTACACATAATATTACCATTCCTATTAGAAAATATATTTGTCACTTTAGATACAGCCCCAAATTTTTGTTTAAAAAGTTACTTGTTTGCAAGCATGCTTGGATTATGTTTGGGTGAAATATGCAGAAGTTTTCAAATTTTTTCTTCTTTGCAGTTCATTTTTCTAAGGTGCAGTGGTGAATAGGATTCTCAAAACTGGACACACAGAAGGCTAGGTCATATTTGTATCAGGTCCAATAATTCTGCAGTGTCAGTCATAGCGTATTCTTCCTAACCACTTATAACAAAGTAAAACATACTCCCCCCCCCCGCCCCGCCCTTGTTACCAGGGATCAAACACCTGAGCTTGTGCTTGCAAGGCAGGTGTGGTGCCACTGAGCTAAATCCCTGACCCCTAGTAAAAATAAATTTTTATTGAGTTATGCTAGCTTTCTAATAATTCTTTTTCTTAAGTGAAACAAGACCCATTTATTCAAACACTGTGTCTTATCTCCCCCACTGTTAATTTTTTGTTTCCTTTGTTGTTGTTTTTGGTTTTTTTGTTTTTGTTTTTGTTCTTGGTAGCCCTGGGGATTAAACCCCTGCCCTTCTCATTAAGCTACATTCACAGCCCTTTTTACTTATTTATTTATTTGTTTGTTTGGTACCAGGGATTGAACTTGGGACCTTGTGCTTGCCAGGCAGGCGGGCACCACTGAGCTAAATCCCCAAACTACTTATTTTATTTTTGAGCCAAGTCTTGCTAAGTTTCCTGAGCTGGGCTCGAACTTGAAGTCCGCCTCAGCCTCCCAGAGTGCTGGGAATAGGCGTGTGTCATCATGCCCAGCTGTTCCCTTCGCTTTCTTAGTTTGATTAGTTAAATTCAACTTGGTACTTTTCCTCTTGAAAGCTAGTAAGTAAATTCTGACTTTAAAATGAATTAAGAAGACACAAGGTTTTTCGCAATATTTCAGTTTTTAGGCTGGGGATTTAGCTTAGTGGTTTCACTGCCTGCTGCGCAAGCACAAGGACCCGAGTTCAATCCCTGGTACCAAAAAAAAAAGGACACATGTTCCACCAAAAAAAAAAAATTTCAGTTTTTAAAATGACATATTAGTAATATTTAGTTTCTTGGAAAAAGTAAAATTGATCTTAACACAAATATATTTCAGAAATTGGTTTTCCATGTTAATATTATTATAGTTGTGATTTTACAACAAAAAACTTTTTTCCCTGAGAAATTTTTCTGTGTTCTGTTCGGAGTCTTTATTTCCATAAAACCAATCCCTGAAGTTGATATGAAAACATTTCAGGTATGTTTGGATTATCTTCTAGCATAGTTTTACTCTCCCATTTGACTCCTTCTTTTTCTTACCATTGTCCTTTTCACATTCCCATTTATCTTCACCCAATTTGCAATAGGTGGATGAGGAGAAAAATACAGTGATCAAGTTGCCAGTCATTTCTGTCCCTAAGTCCTGAAATGAACCAAGGTTTACCAGTGTCAAAGTAGAGTTACTGTGTGCTGATTATGTAAACAGGATAATATAAAAAATATGTTGACATAATACCTGGAAGTAATAAGGCAGTCATAATCTGTTTCCTAAAGAAACAGATATTCTGTAGAGCTCTTTTTTGGAGCAAAGGAGTGAACATCAGAAAAGATTTTCTGAACTGTAAGAATATCAAATAACTATGGGTAGACTATGAAAGAACAAAAATAATTTCACAGACCTTCTCTGGAAGAGTCATGCTAAGAAGTAACAAACTAGCAGTCAGTGAAAGTATATCTGACACTTTTAAATGAGAATAATGCATTATATATTGGATTAAATTAACTCCAAGATGATTTTAGAATGATTCTCTGTATAGTGATAGATATGTTTTAGTAGATAAGAGCTCCTCTTGATAATAACTATCCTGTATCTGCCATTAATCAGCAGCATGAACTTGAGCAATCACTTCATCTTTTTGTATCAGTGCCTTAAACATATCTACCTTTCCTGTGTGTGTATGTATATGTGTCTATAGACACGCACATACACAGCGAATGCACAGCAGGTACTCTGGCACCAGAAAAGGAAAACCCTCAATAAATGTTACGGTGCTTCTTTTTTTAGGAAGTTTTCTTCATATATTACCATAAGAATATTGAGTATTGTGAATGCCTGTAATCCCAGTTAACTTGGGAGACTGAGGCACAATTGTGAGTTTGAGGCCAGCCTGAGCAACAGAGCAAGACCCTGTATTTTAAAAAGAAAGAAAAATTATTTTACTTTTGTGAATCACCTAGAAAAAATACATTCAAACAAAAAGATGATCTTTTTAAAATTAGAATGTTGTATTTGGACTCTAAAGGATCCACTCTGTTTGGTGGTAGATATTATATGTAAATTATTACAGAAATCTGTTAAAATTTAGTTAATACTCTTACCACTTGATTTAAAATATAAATGTGAGATTTATCATCATCTATTTTATTTATGAAATCTTAATTGTTGTCCTTTTTCTGTCTTCAAAATCATACAGCAACCATTTATCAGAAAGCAAAGATTACTTAAAAATCGAATCTTTTTAATGTCCATTTTCAGTTTGATTTTAAAACTCTGCTTTATTCTTGTATGAGGGAGAAGATAATTGAATTTACTCACTTGCCGTGACAATGGTTTATAGTATATTTTCTATGGAAAAGATTGTGATATTTCAGGAAGGTTCATTCCTTTAATTAAACCATGAGATCTGTCAGAGTAGGGATCAAGAACCACCTGCTCTAACATGATTTTTATATTGATTTTTTTTCTTTTCTTGCACTGATGGGGATCAAAGCCAGGGGCTTGTGCATGCTAGTCAAGCACTCTACCACTGAGCTATATTCTCTGATCTCCAAAATTGAATAGTAATAGCTTTTGGATTCTGGAATTTCTAAAGTGTTTTTATCATTTTTTTAAATGCTAACATATGTAATTTATGTTAATATATAGTTATGTTACTATTCTTTCCTTTTGTTTTTCTTATGTTTAATCATTTAATAAAACATAAACACTAGCATCTAGAGTTCAAGCCTCAACTATAAAGTCATTAGGAAATCCTTTTGGTAGAAATAGAACGTGGTTTTTAGTAAGCATCTGGGCTGTTCAGTTTTTTTCAGGGATAGTTATAAATGAACTTTTTATGACTTGTAGGATAGAAATAGAAGCCAAACTTTATTATATTGCATGATATATTTGCTATAAACCATATATTTTCTTGGGCTGAAATATTATCTAGTTTAAGTGAATCATACTTCCAAGTAATATCTTTTAAAATTATGAAAAAGAAATAAATGAATAAATAAACATAAATAATTACAATTACTTTAATACACTGTTGTTTTTTTAGGCTCATGAGAGGCTTGAAGATTCAAAACTAGAAGCTGTCAGTGACAATAACTTGGAATTAGTCAATGAAATTCTTGAAGATATCACTCCTCTAATAAATGTGGATGAAAATGTGGCAGAACTTGTTGGTATACTCAAAGAACCTCACTTCCAGGTGACTTTCCTGTTGCTCTTCTGCCCAGGTTCCCTGTTTCACAGTAGTCTCATTTAGTAGTAACATTCCAGTTGAAGGTGATTTTTTTTTTTTTTTAATTACTTGGCTGTGGTTTGTAAGAGTCCTGGTGAAACTTTTAGAGATCGAGTGCCAAACGGCAACCCAAAACCTACTTATCTCAAAGTGCCAACACTGCAATTAAACCTGAATGCTGAGGTTTTAGTTTAGAAAAAACAACTTATACATTAACATCTTTTGTCTTAAAATATAGCCAGGCATAGTTGTGCATGCCTGTAGTGCCAGCACTTGGGAGGTTGAGGCAGGAGAATCGCCATGAGTTCAAGGCCCGCCTGGACTACGTGAGTTCAAGGCCAGCCTGAGCCATATATGTGTGTGTGTGTGTGTGTGTGTGTGTGTGTGTGTGTAGTGAGACTCTGTCTCAAAAATATAAACAGAAAAAAAGAAAATAACATACATGCCATAGGTTCGTTACCACTGGTTTATACGTATGTAACTTCCAACTCAGGTATTTTAATGTCCTGATAAGCCAAAGATATATAAACAGTCATACATAACTGTACATACTGCATATATGTACAGTGTCCATTATAGAAATACATCACCATGGATTTTCCTTTGTGGAATTAAAGAAAACAACAACCTTGATGGACTGTCAGAGCACACAATAGCAACATTTCCTCACTACGAGAATGGATTTCTTTCTTTACTACCACTCGGCTTCCCAGTCCTCCTTGGGCCCAGTAAGGAGTATTCTTTAGCAGTGCTTCTCAAGATTGGGGTGCTGCAATGACTGTGAGACAAAAGAGCTGTCTAAGGGTGGAAACTTACATAACATACTGTGTTTCACAAATACTGGATCAAAATTAGTACAGTTTAGCCATTGGGCTGTGCATGAGTTAGTTTCATAAGGAGTCCATTTCAGAGGAAGGACAGAAAATTTTTTTAACTTATAACAATTAAGATAATATGATATTGGGGAGTGTTAGGGAAATAAATTAATTGAAGAAAATAGAAATCCCAGAAATATAGCCAGCCCTGTATCTCAACCGGTTTTATGAGAGGCAGGTGGCAGAACCACTGAGCTAAATCCCCAGCCCTACTTTCTTTTTTTTTTTTTTTTTTTTTGGTACCAGGTATTAGACTCAGGACCTTGAGCTTGCAAGGCAGGCCGGTTTTATGAGAAACTTGCATTTTAATGGGAATGAATTTTCTTTGGTGAGAATTAATACAAAATATTTTTTCCAAACCACACAATTAACCCCAGAGCCACCCTATAAATTTCCCAGAATTATAATCCATAAATATTTTCTAAACAGTGCAGTCCAACCTAAAATGAAGATGATTTCTAACCATCAGGGGTGCAATAAATACACCAGGGCCCTATAAGAATGAATCTCTATTCTGCTTCCCAGTCCTCCTTGGGCCCAATAAGGAATATTCTTTAGCAGTGTTTCTCAAGATTGGGGTGCTGCAATGACTGTGAAACAAAAGAGCTGTCTAAGGGTGGAAACTTACATAACTCCATCAACGTAAGCTGAAACAGTATATGGATTTGTGCCACTCAGCTCTCAAAAGAGATTCAGAATAGGGTGTCAAGACAGTGGAGGGGAGGCATCAGTGACTTTAATCAATGCGGGGACAGGAGAATTGTTTGAATGGGAATGAATATTGCTAGGATAGAAGCATATTATTCCAAAGAGTCACTTCTTTTCCACTACAGATGTTAGCTATGAAAATCAAATGGTAATACCCTTCTGCTTTTTCTCATGCAAATATGTGTCTCCAAAAATGTTAGTGCAAAATGTAATGATTAATGGTGAGGTGTTTCTCACATAATCCAATGTCTTGTGTACAAAAACATGGATACATGTCAGAAACACTTTTTCTTCAGGAGTCAGTTGATTGAGTCCTCATAAGGTATACTACATTATTCAGACTTTATCCAGAGGACAAGTGGAAACCTTAGAGGTAGGGAGTTACTGTTAATGAGTTCCCATCCCAGGTCTGTGTGTGGCATTTGAGTGCCCTGGAAACACTACCCTCCCCCTGTATTATAATGATGACCTATGGAAGAGACTGGCCCATTGTCCAGTCCCACTTTGTGGATTTGTCTGGTTGTTTTCCCTGCTGTGTTGTTATCTCTTCTATTTCCTGTAAAAAGAAGTTCTAGCTAAAAGGTTAATGATTCAAGTTCATTGATTGGGACTAGAATGCATCTTAAGTGATGTGATGCAGCACCGTACTTTAGACTACATCAGAAAATTTAAACTACCCGGTTGCTCTACCACTGTTGATGCAGAGATTGGTCTCTTGATTAAGGGTAATAACAGTCTAGTCTTCTCTTTGAACTTTTTTAGGAAGTCAATCTTTACTAAGAAATAATCTAATTGTTATTATTCTGACATTATTTAGATACTATTACCTATGAATCATTTACCTTTTGATGAACACAAATTAATAATCCTTACCTAACTCAATATTTTTCATTAGAGGTTACAAAATGACATTGTCCCAATTTTCTCGTTCTACATTTATTAGTTAATGTTCGTCTTAAATGTAGAGCTTCTCATCAGCTAGCCTGTCATTTTGTAGTGCATTTCCTACTGAAAAAACAGGGACATGCTTCTCTTTACCAATTTTAATAGTAAAAAGTTGTTTAAATAGTAGGTGTAGTAGTGCACACCATTAATCTCCGCACTCTGAGAAACTGAAGTAGGAGGACTGTCAAATTTATTCCCAGGCTAGACGACTTATTGTCTTGGCAAGACCATGTTTCAAAATAAAAAAAGGGTCTGGGGATATAGCTCAGTGAGAGAAGGCTCTGGGTTCAATCCAGAGTACCAAAAAAAAGAATAGTTGTAATAAATGAATTTTTCAGCCCGTCTGTGTTTTAAATAGAAATGTAGATTTGAGAAATTTTCATTAGTTCATTATTTCATTCTCTACAATTACCCTTGGTTTTTAAACTGTCATGACTTTAGTCAGTTATGGGCAGTTTTAATATATGAATCTGAAGCTCGTGAGAGTTCTAAACCAGAGAAGTAAAATTGGGAGTTATTAACATTTAAGTAAAAAAAAAAAAAAAATTTACGTAGTGGTTCAAGAGGAATAAAAACTACTTCCTCAGAAGAAAATATTAGATAAAAAACCAAGCAGCTCAGGTTGGAGCTTTGAATAACTTTGAAGACTCCTTACATATGGATTTGTGAGTTTCTTTTTATTTGTGAATTTTTCCCCCAGTTTCTTATACATGTTTTCATAGAATTACTAGGAATTGCCAATTAAGCCAGTATTTAGATTCTTTTTGTTTTGAACTTGCTATTTGTTCCTCTCTTACTGTATTTTGATTTTCTAGGGGATTTTTTTAAGTTTATATTGTATTCACTCAAATTTTTTTGTGCATAGCTTTATGATGAGTATGTATAATTACAGTGCAACTTATTCCTTTAGAACAAGGAATGAAAAAAATTAAATATAAAATAAAAACCAAGAAATTCCTAGAAAGCTAGATAAAATCATCTGTGCTGACAGGACATACGTAAATATAGAACTTTAAAAATACATTATGTCCAGGATTATTACTCATTTTTCCTATCAAAAATGTCTTATATAGACTAAAATTTTTATTGGTGATATAAAATTTCCCATCATTGATATAAGGTGCTAATATTTGTTTTCTATTGGGCATCTTAGACATTTTATAGATGTCAAAAGGATATCATATTACTAATTTAGCAATAGAAGGGTAAAAATTGGGGTCCTTGTGTCATTTGTATTTTCATACCTTGTAAATGAGATTAATGATAAATATTGAATGATGGATGACACTGATGGTAGTGAAATTCAGTGACTTCTTTGCCCCAGACTTGGAAACCTAGGTGTCATTTCTAGTGAGCTTGCCACATTTAAAAAGTGTGACTGAATTTTGTCTGTTCATATTTAAAACAACAATATTACTTGATGATAATAAATAAAACTATGTATTTTTATATTTTTAGAAGGATTCTATGATTTGATTCATGTTTGGGAATTTAATAATATGTGCATTGGAATTTTTAGCACTCTGCTGGGATAATGAACTAACAAATTATTTTTAGTAACTTATTTCATCAGTAGCTAATAACCACATGGTGTTTTGACTTCTAGTCACTCTTGGAAGCCCATGATATTGTGGCATCAAAGTGTTATGATTCACCTCCATCAAGCCCAGAAATGAATAATTCTTCTATCAATAATCAGTTATTACCAGTAGATGCCATTCGTATTCTTGGTATTCACAAAAGAGCTGGGGAGCCATTGGTAAGTAGATAAATCAGTGCCTTCTTAAATCTAAAATGTAACATCACTTGTGGTTTAGTCACTAGTCTAATGATTTTTCTTTTTCATACTGTGTTAGTGTGAACACTGTGTTCATGTGTGGTTTATCAGTCTTTTTGACCATATTTAAATACACACTGATGTCCTATTGACTTAATGTATTGTATGAAACAAAAGCAAAATGAAAATTGAAACTGAATTAGAAGCTAGAAGTATGCCAATTGGTAGCCAAAAAAACCCAGGATAATCACTCCATTTATCCCAGTCTTTTGAAAAACTAAATTTAGGTTGCTTACTAATGGTGATAGCAAAACACAGAAGAAAATTATATTAAAACCTGAAGCTGTGGTAAGGCCCTAGAAGTAGTTCAGGTTGCTGTCTCCTGCTAACGCTATATATTTGTGGATCCTAAGAAAAGTAAAAACTAGAAAAACATCCATCAGAATGAACAAATACCTTTGCTTCCTTTTATCCTGTGGAGTATAGACCAAGTACTAGTATGTTTTGTTTTTTAGGGTTAATCTTAGTATGAAAGCCAGTTTTGATGGAGTGGTATATGTTGTCACAGTTGCACATAATTTAATGGAATTGAAATATTAAGATAGGAAAAAACATGGGAAAAGTAAGAACAATCCCTTTACCTAGTTTTAGAGTATTTTAATGTATATCCATAAATATTTATATGTTTCTTCCTAATAAAATAAGTAATAATTCTATTGTTTCCTATAGGGAGTAACATTTAGGGTTGAAAATAATGATCTGGTAATCGCCCGAATCCTTCATGGAGGAATGATAGACCGACAAGGTCTACTTCATGTTGGTGATATCATTAAAGAAGTCAATGGCCATGAGGTTGGAAACAATCCAAAGGAATTACAAGAATTACTGAAAAATATTAGTGGAAGTGTCACTCTAAAAATCTTACCAAGTTATAGAGATACCATTACTCCTCAACAGGTTAGTAATAAAATTTTGGGAAAATTAAAAATACTGCTTTTTTTCTAATCACTCTGTTGGATATAAGCAGAAATTGCTACTGTTTTGCTATAGAGAATTCCAAATGTCTGATTTAATTGTTCTGAACCGATTTCCTTAATCAATTTTATTGGTACATTTTAGGCATAGAATATAATGACATTCATCATTGGAAATTTGCAATATAACATAATCTTTCTTGGTTCTTATTTTTTCCGATTCCCCTACCCTCCCTTCAACCCCTCCATCCCTCCTTATTTACAAAGACTTTGTTTCCATTTTTTCATTTTCTATTAATTCTATTCCCTTCTTTTCTTTCCCCTACCCCTCCCATTTTCCCTTTCCCTTTGCCCTTTTTCTTCCTAGTTCACATTATGTATTTTACCTTTTAGTCCTTATGTACACTTTCAGTTTCTCACAGTAGAGAAACTACGTATTTACGCAAGTGTATCCTATTTATTTCACTTAAGAGTATCACCTCATTGTGCATCCATTTAGCTATAAATGTCTGATTTCTCATTTTTCATGACTGAGTAGTACATATATCACTGTGGTATGATTCTTTTAATTCTTTGGGGAAGGTACTCAGCAGGGGAATACCTGGGTCAAATGGGACTTCAAGTCCTAGTTCTTGAGGTATCTCCATACTGATTTCCACAGTGGTTGCCCCAGTCTACACTCCCACCAGCAGTGGAGCAGGGTTCCTCTTTCCCCACAGCCCTGCCAGCA